CACTAGATTATGCATTTAGAGTTGAAGACTTGCTGATTCTTATGATTTGCGTCTATGACTACTTATTGGTTTTGTTGTTTCACACATTTTATTTAGAGAACATATAGCACAGAATCAATGAAAGTGATAAACAATAAAGAAATGTTCGAAGCACAATGTTCGTCTACAATGGCTACAACAAATAAACGCACTCTCATTACAATTTCTCTCTGAACAGTTGTCTAGTTCGAAAGAAAAACAAACTTCTATAACATTCGAAAACCTTGGATATTGCTGTGGAATATAACCACAACTTGACCATGCAAATAAAATCAGCGGCCAAAAAATAGCCGAACTGAGCTGATTGTGGGTTAGGCTTTGTAGTTTGATGATAGTATCACAATTTCTCAAATCAACATCCAGCTGATCCAGGGCCACACGATGATATATTCTTTTCGTTAATTCTTTCCACTGGCGAAAAAAATAAACATCATGTGGCTGTTTAGTTGATGTCGTTTTTCCGGGTATCACCATTAATTTACATGTTTGTCCTTTGTTCAAATTTTTTTCGTAAGCTGTGATGTCGGTGTGCGGAGACCACTGATCCATCAATAGGAGAAATCAACTGTTTGTGACCTTGTTTAATACCTTTCGGATCCAATATTCAAATAAAGAAGTATTTAATTTCCCGGATTTGCTACATGTAACGACTACATTTGATACTGATAAGGTAGGTTTTGTAGATGGAAATCGACCTGTAGGCTCTTGAAGACAAATGAGAACACGATTAATCAGGTAACGTGCAGCACTGATGACTGGGATTACTGTGTAGGAATGGGTGATTACATTAACAGATTTTACCGAAAGATAAGTCGTTTTTTCTCCGGCATAGGATAAAGTACGATTGGAAGCGAGCTCGTAGCGAAAGCTCGATTGGTTTGCATTTAGAACAAAATCAAGCTTGTATTTTGGTAATTGTTTGGTTACTTCTTGAACGAAGTTGTCGCCAGACTTTTCGATCGAGGCTCTGTCACCAGCATCACGTTTGCATATAAATTTTGTTACTCTTCTTGAAGAAATACGGTTACGTCGTTTGAAATTAATCAACCAGTGATGACTAGCTGTGGAACCATCCAAACCTTCAGTTCTTGCCTGAGACAAAGCTCATCTCTGAATATCGACGTCATGAACAAGTAAACTATTAGCACATGCATCATCAAATTTATCAAGCACAAAAATCTCGATGCGGTTTAGTTTTTGTGGACGATTTTCGTTATTTTCTACATACTCTCGAAATCGCTTCAATTGCATACGATGTGTAACGCGTGGATATGCATGCTGTATGGTTATAAAGGCTATGCCTGGACGGGTAAAATCAACTACTTTTTGCATGTATTCTAATGTAAAATCACGATGACCGACTTGCTCTTCTCCACTCGTAATTTAGAGAGACTAGTCTAGATCAGAATCAATATAGTTGGGATGCTCGAGAGAACCTTCTGTTTCGATTTCATAATTATCGCTGCTGGAAAGTTCGTTTAATAATGTAATTAAATGATTTGATATCAATATTTCATTCTCGGTGATCTCTGTTTGCTTGACATTTGATTGTGAAATTGCCTTTTCTTGTATAAGTTTACCGATATTAACAATGTTCATTGGAAAGAGACAAACACAGAAGTATTAGAAACTGTTAAACGCTAAATCTTTAAATATTGCAAATTGAAAATCGGTAAGACAACAACAAATGAATTTTTGGTCAGAATATTTATTTTTTTTCGAATAATTCTCGTAGTGACTGTTAGTTTTCTCTTTCATCCAAAATCTCCTGCCCACTAAATGTTCACAGGCCGGAAGAAATCAATAGAAAACTAAGATCTGTATTAACTAGGTTAGTGAAGTTAGTAATCTTACTTTAACCTGTAGATTGATATGTCCGACAAGATAATATAAGTCCAGATGGTGAATATATATATTTAATGATGGAATACGAGTGATCACGATAACAAAAAATAATCAACTGAACTGGGAAAAACTTGTTCATAAAGTTGAACGAAAGAGAGAGAGAGAGAGAGACAAAAGGAAAATAGATATGTATATACAGGGGCGGCGGAAGGTCTCAAAATTAGGTGAGGCTCAGTTCCAAAGTTGTCGATTGTTTTAGAGAGTGGGGCGGGCTAACAATTTCGCAGACATGGCCAGGTAAAAATCGCATTTTTTGACCTCCCTTCTGAATGTCCAGGACAAACCAAAAGAATTTCTTTTTCTTGAAAAAGTGGCCAAGGGGGGGAGGGGTAGCTTTCGACATCCCCGATATTCCGACCAAGTGGGATAGCTTCGCGAAGATTCCCCTACCAGATGTTAATTTTCATAGTAAAGTAAGATTTTATTTATCGAAAAATTTGAAGCCATATAGAAACGATTAAACTTGAAATTCAAAATTTCGGTGAGGTTGAGCCTACAGGAGCCAAAATCAGGTGAGGCTTAAGGCTCACCAAGCCTACAGGCTCCGCCGCCTGTGACTGAATCCATTAAAAAGAATAAAAACACTCTAATGTAGCTAGTTTTGATGCCTTTTGATCGGATAATTCTACAAATGGTCTAGTACACACGACTTTACGTAAATGAGATAAAATGTGTCGCTATGAACCATAAGGATATAGTTAGTGGGTTTGTTATTGTCTGAATGTCTTGGCTTTCTTTATCACAATATATAAATAAATATATTAGAAGTTCGAATCTTTGCACTGGAATAATATTCATTTGATAAGTCTAAACCATCGTGCAAAAAAACACCGAAAACATAATTTTGGTGAGGCTGAGCCTCCAGACGCCAAATTTCGGTGAGGCCCATGTCTCACCCAGCCTCCAGCTTCCGCCGCCTATGTATATATATATGTGTTAGGAAAATCATCGAACCCTGCATACGTCATATAAAGGAGAACGAAAAAAGGTTAGCGGTAGCAATGTAATATCTGTTGACGCTAACAGTGACAAATAACTGGATGAAACAGGAATGAACAAATGAATGAGAACAAATGTAAGTGTGTCTATATATATATATAGAAAACCAACAGAGAAAAACATGACGTCATGCACAACATGAACGAAAGAACAGTAATGTAAAGGATCTAGAATATACTAGAATGGCCACAACAGACGGTTATATCTGAACGTACTTAAACAAAGTAGAAAAAATACATTCACATCAAAAACGAAAGACACGGGTACATAGATATTCGACGATCTTGACGATTAAACCAGTAGTCAACACACGGAAAAGAGAAGGAGCATTTTTATAATCTTACCTACAACAAGCTCAAAACAATCAGAAGATGAAATCATGCACATCAATATATGAGCACTCAGCACAGGGAGAAAAGAAATCGTATTTCTGATAAATGCATGTGAATAGCAATGCAAAAATCTGTTCATTTAAAGTCGCATGTACAATGAATGACATTTTACCTTGAGATCATGGCTGCAGCAAGTTATGAAAAGGATCAGTTTTAACTAAAGCATTACTTTTTGAAATGCGAATCATAAGAATCAGCAAGTCTTCAACCCTAAATGCATAATCTAGTGTTGCTTCAGAATTATGAATGTTTTTCATGGTGTGGTATGCAAATAATATACCTACGCGGTGAGATGAGTGCTCCAACACACAGAATAAGACATCTTTAGACACTTTCTATCCTGTTAAGTGGAAATCTATGCCCAAAAGTGAAATATTCAATGATAAAATTTGATCTTTCTCACTCTAAATTGTATTAAACTTCAATAGCTCAAATATGCTTTCCTATAAGTAGATTTGATTGATTTAGTTTGGTTAAAAGCTCTACGGGGAAAAACGCTATATGCCATGAGAATCAGCTCATCGAGCTCTACAAACTGGCATATGTCCGATTCCAAACGGCGCGTTACACTTGGATATCTTCCCTCGTTAGTGCTACATTTAGGCAAAATTTCATTGAAATCCGTGAGATCAATTGAGCACGGTTGGTCGTAGTTATTGTGCAATGCCTTCTAAGGAGTTTTCAAAACGAAAATTGATGTCTTATGTATTTCCTATATAGTTGAAGAAAATCCTATACGAATGATACTTTTCAATTCCTGTACTTCCACAGAGTGCTGCTATGAAGTCAGATCACTATTAACAAACAAACAATAATTAAATACATTAGGATTGAGATAAAGAAAAGTAGTTGGGTTCTTCTTCAGAATATACACACCCTATACACATTGACTGGTATAACCAAGAGTGAGAATGAAGAGGTGTATATAATGTGAAGAAGTAGCAGTATTTATTATTATTCGTTATTAATTAATAAAAATCAAATTTATATAAAAATATTCATCGTCATTTTCCATATTTAACAAAATCCAAAGAAAGATTTGTTAAAATATTCTGATGAACATATTTGGCAGATTTTTTTTCTCTCTATTTGTCGTTTTTTTCCAACATTTTGATGTTTTCATCTTTAATAAAAAATAAATAGAAATTTAGTTTTTTTTATATAAATAAAATTTCTTTATAATTAATCTTCATCGTCATATTCTTCGATTTCAATTTTATTTTTATCTGCTGAATCATCATTTTTTCATGCTTGTTCATCTTCACTTTCTTCATCTTGTTTTCTTTCGTGATACTGAGGTCGAATTATTATTTTTTTTATATTGATTCGATGATTCATCCTGCTTAGCTTCTGTACTAGTAAGAATTAGTTAAGATCTCATAGCAGTTGACTTCTACATGTCGACTAATAATTATTGTTTACTCTTATTAGACTGGAAACTAATTAATATTAAAATCTTTTTATTATTTATTTTATTAACCTAATGAAAACACAAACAAGATTACAATAGAGGAAAATAAGCGTAAAAATCTTTTGAATGTACTAGTGTTTCTTCAATAATTAATTGTTTTACTTTAGCACAATTGAGTCGTGTTGTATCTCTTGTGAAGTTGTTTGTTACGATTGCTAATTGATCATAATCGACTTTTAATTTAGTTAAATGAGGTAGATGTGTTTTTGTTTCATTGAGAAACTGCTCGACATAATCAATATGAGACGCCAAGATACAAAGCGAAATAAGATAAGGATATTTAACAATTGAATACAATTGATTATTATTAGAGTTACAATTATTTGACATTTGTGACTGTGATTTAGAATTAACAAGATGCAATTGTTTAAGCAAAGGAAAAGAGCGAGCAATTCGGATGAAAAATTCGTGTTCGAATGGAATAATATCGTACAGAACCAGCTTTGTAACATGATCGAAAATAATCGATGGAAATGTGTTCCCGATAAATTTGAGATAATCATACATGAATGGTAGTGAAAAAACATGACATATAGCACTACTAGTGATGTAGTATAGAATACAGCCCACGTGTTGATATCCTATGTTAGTAAAAGTTCGTTGAATATCATCGCTCGATAAATAATGAACTAAATGATGCAGTGTAGTTTTGGTATTGATATTAAAATCAAATTTATGAAGCCGTGGCATATGAACAAGAATTTCATTATTAATCTGAGTACCATCGACAAATGTAGTTCGATTGTGGTTAATAATACTCAAAGCTAATTCTTCAAGATTTGACATACGACGAAGAAGAGGTAAAACTTGAATATCATATTCATCAGTCAAGCAACGACACGTTAAAGAGAAACATTTCAAATTAGGTAGATCATCCTAGAAAATACAAATCAACATTTTTAAATATATCATTATCGACTATAAAACAAAAAGTTCAGATGAATAACTGATCGAAAAGCTATATTTCTATTTAATTCAATTTCAATTATTCCTTCAACTCAATAATATATACAGTCTTCTGCAATGATAACTATAACAAATATATGACATTTTCTAAACTTTTAGTACATAAGAGATAGTTCGATATTGATGAAAAAACTCAAGAATTTGAAATCAAGGATGCTATTATAATAAAACAATGTAAATGAATAAAAGAAGTAAAGAAAATAAAGATTGTTTATTGCTATGATAGAAAAATTAGATCGAAATAAGTTTGGTCTTTTGTCCAGTTCTCAGAAAATCAAATATATCTTAAAAATACCTGAACATAAACATTATTAGTCTTATATTTTAAAAATCATTTCTGACAAGAGAAAAGTATAGTATGACTAAATCCAATAGGCATCAAAAGTCAGCAGTTTGTTTATTCAAATGAAATTCAATCACTCGGTTTATTTCTTCAAAACAATTTATATACGGCAATGTATAAGACACAAAATTTTCTATATTCACTCATCGAATAGATCAGCACAATTTTACAACTATTTAATTATAACTGATTCAAACAAATAGTAATTCATTAGAAAACAATCTATAATATTACTGTGATCTATAATCTTGTTTTAATTTAAAAAAATTAATCTAATAATACAGAAACTTACCATATTGTAAACAACTGATGAATTATAAATCATGTTGTCAATAATAACAATAAACGTCGTTAGCTGTTTGAGACGACCATCAAGTAGAGCAAGGCAATCTCCAAAATTATTCACAGAAACAGATAATTTGTAAAGAATTGAAGAAGAACAAATAGTCGAAGGTAAATTATCAAGTGATAAAACTGAATGTAATCCAGTAATAGACAAATGTTTTAGACTTTTGAAGAATCTCAAAATATATCCGTGCACACCATTATGGCGTTGTCTCTCTAATAAAATGTCAATATCGCTTTTGTATACAAGAATAAGATCTGTAATTTGTTGTTGAAAAATGTGATGAAATGGTGATCCACCTATATAAAAAAAAAACAATAAAATATTGTGCAGTGTTGACAACATTTCTATTAAAATCTATGCCCAGAACAGCATGAAACTTTTTTACTTGTAAAATAATTGAAAACGATTTTATCATTGAAATTAAAGAGTTTAAGTTCAACTAGATTAGTATAATCGGCAGCAAGAAGAATACGTTCCATAGATCCTGATTCAAGAATAAGAGATTTAATATTGATATTAAGTTTTGGTAATATATTAATGCAGAATCGGTCGAGTATTGAATCAGTAATCGACAAAATATCATCAAATGATGTTATTATTACAAAATTGAGAGTCTTAGTAAACATTTTTTCTTGTGCTATCATATTTAGTCGTTGATTACCAACATCCAATAATGAATAGAGAACATCAATATTATCAAGTTTCTTTAAAATGATAAATAATATTTCATCAGGTAAATGAAGAAGACCAATGTTTGACTGATTCATGTTAACTTTGACTAACGCTTCTCTTTAAATGCAAATATATATATACATATGTATATGTTCATTGTTCATTTGCACTTATTGTTGTCAGCGAATAAAATGAACGGATGACCCGGCGAGAAAAAAATATAGCGTGGAGGTATGGTCCAATCAATTAATTCATAGATGAATTTTTTTTCTTTCGTTTATCTGATATTGTCATAATCGTTACTCTATATTCTTGTTCATACGTTATCGCATGTTCAGAGAAAGAAAAGAAAATGCTTGCTACCCTCAAAATCTATTAAATATTATTCATAAATGCTTAGATTAACGGATAGAAATTGCACTTTTGTATATATTATAGAAAATAGGATAGGATATAAATGAACAGAGCATAATATAATTATTTATTTTTTTTATAGATAATCTCTTTCAATTTTATTTATCGTCCTTAGATCAACATAGAATAAAATCATTTGTTTTCTTTTTGTACTTATATTTTTGTGTCTTTTGTCTTTACTGTGAATATAGAATAAACAAATATAAAGTTGTTTTTCACTTTATTCATATATTCAACTTGATGAGACCCACCGGTAGAATCTATAGTCCAACAATTTTCGGACTCGGATCCAGTCGGCACAAAATTTTTAGACTCGGATCTGAGTAGAACCCGATGCACTGTAAAATAAATGCGGAAACTTCGGATTTAAATCCGAGAGTTATGTATACTTCAAAAAGTGAATCAGACGAATCAGCCATCCTAGAATGTGTGGACATCAAAATTATACTGGGGAACCTACCCTCTAAACTGTTGATTTCTATTGGGTATTGCCAAACCAATAGGACTTGGGACCGAATACAGCTCAAATTTGAACTCTTCCCCTTGATTTACCCTAAGAAAGTCGTTTTTCCTATAACTTGATCTCTATTGGTCACTGCTCAACCAATAGTATTTCGATGGAAGTGGAGTGCAGATTCGAGTTCTCGACCCCAGAAAACCTCGAAGCATCGTCACTGTGATCGGAAGATAGAGCTCGAATTGTGGATCAATTAGATCGTGGACAAAAATATAACCTAGTTCTCTTTAATTATCTTTGTGATAGGTGAGTCAGCCTTCCCGTTTCTTTATGTTTTATACACCATTTTGTAGCTCTTGAAATTCTCTATCGAATGGTATATAATAGTTGGAGTTTTAGTTGACTATGATAGGAAAAGTTGTTTACGAAAGCGGGGATGGGTCGATCTTTCCATAGGGAATGTATAGGGAAAAATGAGTATTTTTGCAATAAGTCAGGAATGGCTCGGCCAATTCTTTTCATCTTTGAACTCGACCGAGATATTGTTAAGACTGAACTGTGTAGAAAATTTCATCACGATCTGACTCTCCTTTCGAAAGTTATCGTGTAAACGGACGGCCGGCCGGACACACTGACCGATTCTAGAGTGTACTCACTTTTTGAGTACACAAATAAAAACTTTTATTTCTTTTTTTTTTATAATTTATTATTCTATTATATGATTATACTAATGTTTGATTTATTATCGTTTTCTTTTTGTCTTTTTATTAAAAACGAAAACAAACAACATCTCTCTTTTCATTTGAATGAAAGACGAAATGACTAATTAGATGTAACAGAACAAAAACAAAAAAAAAAGCAAAACAAGAAGATTGTCATCATATATTTCGAAAACCTGGTGAACGACCAAATGGTAATATTGATGGACGATTACGAGAATTTTTAAATGATGATATTTGATCAATTGAATCAAAACTACACGGTGTTGTACTCATCATCATTGATGTTAATATATCATCACAATCATCAATATTTTGTTCCTAGAAAAATTAGAAATATAATTTAATATTTTTTTCTTTTCATCTGTACTAACATATAATGATTACTTTTGTGAAAACACAATCTAAGATAAGTGTTGAAGTTTATAGATTCGAAAAAATATTCATGAAAATATCTTTAACACATGATTAACGTAGAATTGTGTTCTTATGAATCTTATCTTCTCCCGCTCCACACCCGACTGTTACAAACACCCTAGAGACCCATCACAGGAAGGAAGAATACTCCTGCCTTGTGGTATAGGACGGTATCTAATGGCAGACCCAGTAGTCCAATATCTTTCCTACAATTAACTGTCAGAGATGGAATCGAAACCGACAACCGACCAATCTACAGCTAGAGCCCATCGGGTCCAAGAGTTTCTGGACCCGGTCGATCAAGATTTTCTGACTCGGACCTGATCGATCATTTTTTTGTGGGACCGGACTTGAATCATATTCTTAGATTTCATTATATGCATCAAAAGTTTTTTTGATTCGGTCCTAATGAGCAAAAACTTTCAGGCCCGGACCGGGGTCCGAACCCGATCAAATATAATTTTCAGACCCGATGGGCTCTATCTACAGTAGATCTCGAAATCGGTTATGGATATACGATTAATCCTTTGGGAACGGGGTTACTGTAGCAAAAAGCAATGAAATCTTTAAAATATTGAACAATGTGTTCATTCGCAAATACAGAGTGCGAGGGTAGGATGTGAGTGTGGGTGTCGTGTGTGGATGTGGGTGGGGTAGGTTTGGGTGTGGGTATGTTGTGGCTGTTGTTGTGAGGGTGCGGCTGTGACTGCAAGAAGAAGAACATTCACACTTCACACCCACACTTACAGTCACAGCCACAACCGTGCCCACTCGCACACATATCGAAAATGATAAATCTATGATCTATACTGTCATATCTGCCATTCGAGTCTCGTTAGAGATTCGCTTAGATCACATAGTGATTGTATTAGAATCAAAGCACACATATGTACTTCCCGTCCCCAAAAGGTCAAAGAGGGAATAACAGCTACATCATGTTTCACATTTTAATCCCATAGAGTTTGTGCTCTAGATTTTACTTACACTATGATCTTCTAAATCTTTAGTAGTTATATCATCATTTTCATCTCGATAATCAGAGCAGTCATCCTATTCCGCGATGTTCAACATCGTGCAATCGATTCC